AACGGGGTGGGGGGTGGTGGTGAGTTATAAATCGCGCTGGAAATGCGGAATGTTAAATTTCCCGTTACTTGACACCAGACCGTGGGGACCGGGGGAAGTTACCTCTCCCCAGAGCTGTCCTCTGGCAAGCGCACAAAGGTGCCCGCGTCGCCTCGCAGCTGGGCGCCGCGCTACCTCGCTGCAATTACCCAGCGCAGGATTTCCTATTCACAGACACTGAATTAATCCTTATTCAAGAATAGATTTTTCTCTTTACAGTTTTGTTTGCAGGGCCGCATTTTTCTCATTAGCAACAAAGTTTTCTCCCCCCCCCTCGCAATTTTATCATCTATTAACATGAAGCACAGTGGGGTTGGTTTTTGTCTTTTGTGGTATTTTTTTTTTTCTTCTAAGCGCCAGTGGTCGTTCGGCACATTCATTTCATCAGCCCGACTAATTTTCTTCACCCAGAAACAGACGTGATTTATCTCAAAATTGGGCTAATAGCGTGCGAAACTTCCTCGCTTGGGAAGAGCCCGCGGCGGAGCGTCTGGAAGCGTCCGGCCCGTCCCGGCTGGGCAAACCGCGGGACTGCTCCTCCCGTCGGGCGTTTTTGCTAGCAGATGACCCGTGAATTTGGGGGTTCCCCGAATGTCGTAGGGAGGAGAGGCAGTGAGGACGTTGCGGCGATCGAGAGAGAGGAGCTGGGGCGCGCCGTTCGCCGGCCGCGGAGAGGGGCGGCAGCCCAGCAGCGGAGCAGCCCGGCGGGTGGTCGCTTCACTTTAATGGGGCAAATTGGGGAGATGTAGCGGGGCAGAGGGAATGAAAGGCTGAAAAGGGCGTGGAGGGCTAATTAAACGGACTCGCTATACCGCCAGAGAGGGGAGAGAGAGAAGAGTTCAAGGCAGCACGGCGGCTGGGCAGGTTTCTCTGTTGGCGCGGCAGGAGTGGGAAGGAAAGGGGGAGCAGCAAACTGCCCAGCTTATTTCGTGTGCCGATGGCGGCCACATCCTAAGCCTTTTTCTCGGGGAAAAATCGCATGAATTTCAGTGTTTCTTCCTAGGCTGGGTTGTAGTTTGAGTTTTAGGGACAGGTTGCAAGCCTTCCCTGCTGCAGTGGTCAACGAATCTCTTCAGCCATACTTCGGAAAGGATATTTGCTGACCGTCAAAATGCGACAGTTGCTGCTTGTTTTGACCGTTTCTTTGGGGCATGCTTCCTGCTTTTGGGAGTCCTGAAGTCACAAGCTACCTGGTTGCGTCTTTGCAGGAGGCCAGTTTTCCTTGGCAGAAGGTGTGACTTTGTAGCGTGACAGTTCTTTTTTGCTGTCTCCCTGCCAGTCTTCAGTACTTCTCCAGTTTTATTTTTGGTTTTTTTTTTTTCTTAATAGAAAAAATATTTTTCTGTTTGGTTTCCTTCTGTCATGAATATCAGTTGACAGAAGTTAAAATAATGTTTTGCAAATAAGTGGGTACAGTTATTTATACAAGCCAGAAGCAATGCGTCTCTTAACTGCTGAGTTGAAATATGACTTAACTATTTCACATAGAATACAGTTTCTTGTATAAATATCTATCTCTAGACAAAAAGTTAAGGAGGAGTAGAGGCTTGGAAATTATTAATATTAATAGGAAAGAACAGGAATAATTGGAAAGTATGCACCTTCAGATGAGAACAGAGTTACTGACAGCCGTGTTTATGTTCAATTCCTGAATTGATACTCTGTTTTTTTTACATCCATGTTATAGTTAATATCAGAATGGCTACCCTGAGCCAGTCCCTCTGTCTCTCTGGCAGTGGC